TCTTGCAATCGTTATCCTTAAGTTTAACTAGCAATAGTCTCAGGAAACGTGATGTTGCGAGGAGGTAGGACTAAAGCGTAGTTAAATAGGTTTAGCGGGGGCAGATGATTAGCATCCTGCATTCGGTTGACGAAAGCTTGCTGACACCAGAGGTGAAACTGCTCTACTTGTGTAAGTTGAACAATTGCGGTATCTTCAAATTGAGATCCCTGATGAAGGAATTCCTGGTACCAACCTGGCGAAGGATGTCACGCTCGTTTGCTATAACAGCCACTTGAGCTGGGGAAATTTGGGCAGGTTTCCGCAATATATCCAGAAGAGATCAAGCTGGCTGTGGTAGCAGTGATAGCCTTGCGGTACTTACGTTCTCTTGCATGAACGTCGGTTGGTGTGGGAAGAGCAGTGGAAGTGATCTCGGTAACTTCCGCAAAGCCGTTCCAGTCACCTTTGTTAAAGTTGATGCCGGTTCGGTGTTCCGCGGAAGCAAAGTCAGAAGGTTTATGGATCGAGACGATTATGGGCAGATACTCTGATGCTAACGCCAGCTTAGGTTGTTGTTGTTGCTACAACAACCCCGCCCAGGTCGATTGGTATCTCAGTCGTTGTCGCCAAGTTCCACTAACGGCAGGCCGAGGAAGCGTGCAGCTTCTGCAGGGTTGGTCCACAGGGACAAGGCCGTTAGGGTTGTCGGGTTTTCCGGGCATGCGAAGAGATGTTTCGAGTCATGTGGGGTCTCTCCGCATCCGGACACTCATTTGGCACATCCTCATTCAATCTACAAAGGTAGGAGTTTAACCTGCTGCAGTAGCCGCAGCGAAGTTGTGCTAGTGTAGTTCGCGTCTCCCGAGGCAAATGAAGCTCCGTCTCGTCTGTGTCCGGGGTCGGTATGCCTAGAACGGCATTCACAGGTCTAGAGTCTACATAACTCGAGACTGACTCCCTGTGATGCCGTTCAGGGCCAGTCGGTAAGTTGTCGGGTCCAGAGGTTTGCTTGATGAACCTCTGGACTTCGTCCGTCAGTTCATATAGATGCCTCCTGACGTGCCTAGGCGAGGGCTCCTCTGCAAGCAGCTGTCTGTTTGGGTGGCCACTTCTGTGGCTCCCGACCAGGAACTGCTTGCAGAGCATGATGTTGTGCTCCTTTACCGGGAGCATTTGCGCCTCGCCGTGAAGATGGTTTTCGGGCGACATCAGGAGGCATCCTGTCGCTGTCCTGAGTGCGGTGTTCTGTGCAGTCTGTAGCTTCGTCCACTGCGTCCTACTAGTCCCCGGCGACCACACTGGCGCTGCGTAGTTCAAAACCGGCCGGCCTATTGCCTTGTATGTTGCCAGCAACGTTTCTTTGTCTTTGCCCCAAGTACTGCCGGCTAGCGACTTGAGGACCTTGTTGCGGCTCTGNGTGCGCAGAGAAGGAGAGCAGGCTGTCGAATGTTACTCCGAGTATTTTGGCCAGCTTAGGTCGCCACATTGTGCTGTTTACCAGACCAGCGCTTACTAGGTATATCGTCGTTTATTGTGCATTATGTCGAATAGTATATCTGCTCAGCAAATATATTCCCCTACGAAAGTTCCACAGACTTGATTGCGAAAGATCGCGGTGTGCACTGAAGTCACCTTTATCAGGGCGATATCATGCCGGGCAACTGGCAACGTTAAATATTTCGAGCTCGACATCGCCTAACGGGATAACAATGCCCTGACATTCTAGAGCGGTATCAATGCGGTCGATGTCTGCTCGAAATGAGATGATACTGCGCGGTGTGATGCATGATGAACGTTATGCCTTCACGATTATCTCGTTCTCGATTTCAACCGTGCACATTGTATCCAATGCAGGCAACAGTGTTGAGTTGCTGTGCAGCTTCGTCTTTTGGATGGCAGCTTTTAATACGCCACATTTCGACTCCTAAATATTGCTCGTAAAAGCCCTTTGATGTTCAAGGACTGTTGCTTCAGCAACATTCTCCGAAATTGTGTTGGGGGAATATTTATGCTGTCACAACAACCACATTGGAAGGTTCCGGTGTTCTACATACATAAATAGAGTTAAGTCACCGAACTGACAGCCCATGGTCAAGAAAAGCGCACAACCGCTTGGCGCATTGTAATTTTTGCTTATTGGTGTCGAATTTTAGCTCTGATCCAATACTTTTCGTGAAAAATCCTGAAAAACTGTAAGACTGCTTTTACACAGTTCAAGTATTGAATTCAATTCTGCTCGCATGTGGAAGAGAGGGGGTGAGAAGAAAAGGGACGAGTACACATGCGTCTGTACCGTCAAGTCGTTTCAACTTTCTTGCTTTGCTTTTAGCATTTTCGTTGCTTCCCATTTAAAGAACCAAAAACTTGAATTCAACAGAATTGAAACGTGTAAAAGCAAATAGAAAACACAAAGGAGAATGAGCAAGAATTGCTTTCAAGTACTTGAATCATGTAAATCGGGTGTAAAAACAGCAAAATTACTCTCTGAAGTGAGAGTAAAAAGTAACAACGAAAAGTACGGGAACAAAAAATCCATTTTTCCTGTAAAAACGTCAACCACTGATTGCTTGACACTTTTCATGATTTTACCAGAAGAAAAAGTTCGGGTAAAATCTTGCAACTTCATTCTCTACACAACTCTCCAAAAGTCGCTCTCATTTACAGGATTTTGGAGTACGGGAACATTTTTCCTGCAACATCCTGCAAGTTCGTGTAAAATCCTGTAAGTTCATGGAGTACTGGATCAGAGCTTTTATTTCACAAAAATATTAAACATGGCTATCCTGCATTTGATTTTATTTTAATTGTTATTGTTGTGATACAGCTTGAACTAGAATGTCAACGTTATTGAGCGCTTAAAAGGTGGGGAAGAATGTAGGGGCAAACAAAACCGTACTTAACTACATACATATAAACCATAAAATCGACGCATGAGCTACGCAGCTAAGAGCAAAGCGCAGAAAGAAAATTAAAACAGGAATTTCTGATAAGTCGATTTGGCAGGTATTTTCGCAAATATGCTCCACGCTTAAACGCTAATAAAATATATGTACATACATACCTACATATGTACATATTTCTCAAAAAGGCGAAGACACGTATGTATGTATATATATATATATGTATTATGCAATACTTGTAACAAAATGTTTACCACTTTTAAACACCTCGCTCCTTTGCCGTTCGATGTTTGGCCTTTGAACTCTCGTAGGTACGTCACACTTATTTTAACTTTTTACAACAAAACTTTATTCGAAATATTCGCTGCATTTAAAACTTCATCTCACACACACATAAAGGCACTTACGCATCGTTGTATAAAAGAAATTCCCACACTCGCGGCTACTTCACAAGCTTGTGTTAATTTTTATTGTAGACCGGTTCACTTTAACTAAATAACTTTTTTCACACTTGTTAGCTGCTGCTATTCTCTTTTTCTTTGATACTTAACATTCTTCAAAAATATACTTTTCTGCAATATATATGTATATCTATTTGCACTTTTATTCGTTTTTGCCGCTCAGCTAATTCTTTACACTTTCGCACTGCGCTATTGAATGAAAATTCAGCAAAAACGTCTTCCCCACTTTCTCCCTTACACCGGTAAACGCAAGCATACAACAACAAAGTTTTTATATTTAGTCAATCACCTGGAACGCGCCTCAATTTCACCGAGCAACACACGTTTACACACCACCAGTTACTTTGAAACTGAACAGAGCAGACGCGAAAGACTGGAGAAATGGCGCTGTTCTTTCGCTTGCGACATCGGCAGCGCACCTTGGGTCGAAGGCCTTTTTGCGGTAACAATTCTCAGTTGTTAATTAAATGCCAAATAACCACTTCGGAGTAGGAGGCGTGTATGCTGTGGATATTCAGTAAGCATCTTTCCACTCGTTTTTTTTCTGTTACTGATTTGTTGTGGTATAAATTATAAAAACTACTTTAAAACTTCCAACGCATTAATAAAAGTTTGTTCAGCCACATGATTCAATAATACAAGGTTAGATAATTATTGACAGCTGCGGTTTGACACTCCCTTACAAAAGGTTGCATTTACGAAGGACAGAGAAAGGGCAAGAATACAATCCCTTGTTTCGAAAATGGTAGTAGAAAGTGCGCAAAGTAGGCAATTAGTAGTGAAATTCCTTTCGTACATTCTAATGTATTTGCAGGAAATCTGCCATTTTAAACGAAATGTTGAACGTAATATTGACATATCTACGTGAATTACGTAATTTGTATGCTATTCAGCCGTATAAAAACTGCAAAATGACTCAAAATTAAAATAAGACTACTATGAGATTGATGTAAACATCCAATGTTTATGTTTATCAGTTAAATATGCTTCATATGCATATACAAATAAACATATTGCACAAAAGCTTATACTTTTATTTCACACGAAATCTGCACTGTTTCCATGTAAATTTGCAAAGAAGCAACACGGTGCCACTGCTAAGGGAGCGGTGCGAGAGAGACAACTGTCAGTTTATCGAACCTTGTAGTTATTATTGCATCATGGTTCAGCCACAAGTGCAGTGATCACAACGAAACAAAAACAATGCAATACGAACACTGGTGCTGTAAATTAATGAGAGCACAAAGCGGAGTGTAACAAGAGCGAAAGAGCGAAAAAATGGAGGGGAAGCGGTTAAAATGCCGCGCAAAACACTGGAATGTTAACTAACATTTTTATTAAAATGAGAAACGATTTTTTCAGAATTTATTTAAAATAATTTTCGTAATTCACAATAATTCGTATCTGGATGCATACGGAGTACATTCGATATGTTTGCATCTTAAATATTTATATTTATAAATGCAAGTAAGTAAATATGTCCATACATTCATACTAGAGCATTCATACCCGGCATTGTTAAAATTCTTCGGGATTGAATGCCCTAATTCATACCTACATATTTAATTTTAAATTCCTCTGCTTACAAGCTCATGCTGTACTAAATGCATTGCCTACTTTTCGGCGGCAAAAAAACATTTAATTTCATGCAGACTGATGTGTTTTCTCATTGTAATTTTTTAATTGGAAAATTGGTCAATATACATAGGTACATACTTTTAATTTTGCTGTTCTAAAAAATTGCAGGTATGCTCAATATGCCTTTTAAATGTGATTTCCTTTGATGCTTAAATTCATTAAAGAAAGAAAATAAATTTGAAATTTTTAATACTGGTGACTTAAACAGGCAATTTGTATGAGTATCGCGCTTTACAAAGCTTTTAAAACCTATTTAACTTTTCTTGAATAAGGCAAGGCCTTGGCCAACAGCATTAAGGCACCAAGTTTGATATTTCTTTGATATAACGTCGTTTAAAGTACAAAACCGCGTATCAACAAAATGCAAAATCGCGTATCAAGATAATTCAAAGGCGCGTATGTGAGTTGCATAAATTATTTTCAAGAGAGTAAAAACACTCATGCTAAAACATTTTTCTCTCTTCTGTAAAACAATCACATTTCTGGCTAGTATATTTCAGGACGAATGGATAAGGATTGAGCCATGAGCTTGTGTGAGCAATTCCAATTTTTGGCTGCAAATGGTTTGCAGAATGACGATACGCGGTTTTGTACTTTAAACGACGACAATTATGCTCAATCTAAAAAATGGACTTTCTAGCATTTAAATAACCTTTTTTTATACATACATATCGTTACCTTAATATGGAAAGTAGAGCTGCAAAAGCATTGGAGCACTATCGATAGTATCGATGTTTTAATATTTTTTTTGAAAACCATCGATGTTTTTAGAAGATATGCCATCATTAGAACAATTAAAGCGTAATAAACTTATATTCTTTTACAGTTTAGCTGAATTTGAGCACAAAAGCGTACCAATAAGTGTTTAGGGAATTTATTACTCATTAAAATGATTTTGTCAGTGCCATTCGATCTCTAATTGGGAAACTTAAAACTAAAAACTTGAAGTGTACCCCAGATTATTGCCTTAAAGAGCGAATATTTATTTAATTAATTAAATTTAATTAATAACTTGCAATATTCAATGTGAAGTTAAATATAAGTCTAATTAAATTTTAAATTAATTAATGGATAATTTGAAAATAATTAATGTAATTTGTTACAAAATTGTTTGTTAATTAATCAGGATTTCAAGTTTAAACAAGAAGTTATAATACCCAAGAAAACGCGATAGTATCGACACTACCGATGTTTTATTGACAAAAACATCGAACATCTAGTTTTAATCACCGGTGTTTTTGCAGCACTAATGGAAAGGCCCTAACTCATTTTTTTACGAAATTCATCTTAGTACAAAAGTCGGTAGATTACACACTAAAAGCCTAATATATTCTAAAAGCCCTACCTGCTTTGGATACTTCTTTTGTAATGTTTTTTGCTTCTCCTGTAAAATAAAATAAATTTTAGTTAGGGCCTTTGTGAATTAAGGTAACGAATGAATACACAAAAATATATGTTACGCATATTTTAAAATGGTTCTTTAAGCACCTTTCCGTGGTCAATACCATAAATATATTCATTATTACGCACATAACCCCAACCCATGCGCTTTGAAGTCCAAGCCACGCCTATATCACCCGTAGGTCCAATAGTTATAGCGCCACCGGTACCTCCTAAGCGTTCAGTCATCTCCTTGCACGCAACTTCGGTCGCCTCCTGAGCCGACATATTGCAGTATCTAATGTTTGCTATAATCTTTTGTGCCAAATTGAAACGCATAATTGTCTCGCCATGACCAGTGGTAGAAACACCGCCCCACTTATTATCTGCATAAGTGCCACAACCAAGCAATGGTGTGTCACCAATACGCCCTGCCACTTTGCCAGTTATGCCGCCTGTAGAAGTGGCCACTGCTATATTGCCTTTTGCATCTATAGCCACAGCACCAACGGTACCAGGTTCACCTGGTCGCTCTTTAATTGTTTTATCCAATTCTGTTGGCGCATATGTGGTATCTTTACCCTCAGATTGTTGTTGCTTAAATTGCTTTAATGCATCACGTGCACTTTGTGTTACTAATGATCCCGCTGGCAATTGCTCAGCTCCATTTGCTAAAGCAAATTTCTGTGCGCTTTCACCACCTAAAAATGTGTGATTTGTTCTCTCCATTACACAACGTGCCACTGAAATAGGATATTTGATGTCGTGCAACAAAGTTACACAGCCAGCTTGCAACCGCGATCCTTCCATTATGCTTGCTTCCACTTCAACGTTGCCATCACTATTCAGGCATGCTCCATAACCCGCATTGAAGTTTTCATCCTCCTCCATAGCGCGTACAGCCGCTTCGACGGCATCCAGAGCAGAACCTGCTTCAATACCACCACATTCAGGCGAAGGCATCAGCAGCGGCAAACCTGCTTTCAAAGCCAGTTTCATACCTTTTGTCTTGCCAGGCACTCGCGCGTCACTTATGTCACCAGCTCCACCGTGTACGAGCAGCATTGGCGTAGTCATTGTGTTCGAAATAAGATTATGGCTGCAAAGAATATTGAACATACATATGTATGTCAACGTAATGATAATAATTTATTTACTGAATGAAAATTTTAATCTTTACTCACAGCGCAGCTTTGGTGCAATGAACGACGTGCATCAAGAAATTTTACCATTAGGTCGGAAATTGCAATTGCCTACTTTAGTTTTATCATTGTTTACTAGCTGTCTGGCTGTCTTATCAAAGCTGGAAATTTCCAATGGAATATAAACTGACGGTTGCCACTTTTCAGTTTTAAGACTACCATAATTTTAACGGAAAAAGTACCATATTAATTTTTATTTTGGTCAAAAACTGTTCAACTTTACCATATTTATTATTTTAATTTACTAACAACAAATATCCATTTTATTTTTAATACGAACTCGATTGTTTTTTCCAACCAATAGTCCGTTCCAATAGCAGTCCGGTTTACAGGATTTAGTCAGAACTTACAGGAAGTCGTTCCTATTGACATAAAACCTGTAAGTGGGAACACATTTGAGAGAGTAAATGAGCAACTGTTCCTAGTCAGAAGTTACAGCATTTAGTCCGGAGATTTTTTTCCTGTAAGTCCATGAAAAGTGTCAAACGATCAGCTGATTTACATGTGCAAACAAAAACAGAAAGCGCTGAAAGCAAAGTACCTTATATTTGTTAAAAAATGGAAGTAAACAACGAAATATTTAAATATGTATAGATTTTAATAATTATTTAGTGATATTTCAGCCAAATCAGTGTAGTACCAATGACATTTAAACAAACCGTCTGACGTTTTTACTGGAAATAGTGCTTTTTGCGTTCCTATGCACTTCTGCATCTGTTCTCCTTTTACTCTCATTTGAGAGCGTAAAATTGTAGTTTGACAGTTCCACAGGTTTTAGTCCGAAGTTCAAAGGAACAGACTAAAAATAAACGGTGTCGCTACTCTGAAGAGTTCTGTGAAATGAGGAAATACCTGCCAAACAACAAAAATGATAGGGTACCAAGGTACAATCGATGAAAAAATGTACCACTTTTGCTAGTACAGTGCTAGGTGTGGCAACCCTGATCTAAACATGTATAACCAGCAGAGTTGGTACGTTACGAAAACGATGACGTACCAGAAGCACACAATATTCGTACTAAAAAATAGAAAAAAACCGTAGTGAAAGATACAAAAAGATTAATATTTTAAATTTATAAGTTTTCATATTTAATCTCTTAGTTAAAAACTTTGTAAGTATTGCATTATATGTGTATCTTTTTCGGTGGCAAATTAAACACTTTTTGCAGCTTACCGTAGTGTTTTTGTCAATAATAAGTGAACATTTAAAATCTTTGAAATTGCCGATAGTTTTATATCTACGAAAAATTGCAATAAGGCAAAATTAACCTTTTGCCTGTCTGTTGAGCCGCATTTGTGCTTTATGCTAACATCTGTTATATGTACATAGCTTGCATAGCCGGTTGCTCAAAGCCTGGTTGACAGTAATCATCGGTTAACATCGTTGTCGACGTTTTTGCCTCCATGCATATAACACGGTGTCGGTAATGTCGATAACGATGTTTAACCGGTGATAAGTGTCAACCAATGTCTGGTTAACACTAATCTCCGGTTAAACAAAGTTATCGACTTTACCGACTCCCTGTTATCTGCATGGAGGCGAAGACGTCGATAACGATGTTTAACGGTAACGTCGATAATATGTTTAACCGGAGATTAAGGTGAAATTAATCCAGAACGTAAACCTGCCGGGACGTAAGCCCGACTCAGCTGACACGATCTGTTTTACCAGAGGACCATGTAAATGATAACTCAACACCGCAGAATGTTTCTGTAGTTGTAGCCCGTAGCGCAGAAATCTGCGGAATTTAGATTTTTCCGTGTCAGCTGATTTCTTCCTCCTATAGATGGTTGCCACTTCGTCAGTTTTGCTTACCACCTGCAAACTATAAGTTCCTATTCAAATAAACTATTTTACAAATACGTCACATGCAAATTCAGAAGCGAGCCGAGCCGAAGTTTATGGAGTGCTCTTAAATAATATAACTCCTTAGGGCGAGATAGTACTTTGATGGCAACACATATTATGTTAATAAATAGAACGCAAGAAAATATTTTAGTTTTATTTTTGTCACTCCGAATTTCGTTTTGGAACTCACCCATGATGCAAATTTTCATCTTTTGCCCTGTATGAAGCTCTCAAGAAAACGGTAAAGAAAAAATTGCCATTATTTCGTGTGTTTGTCCAAGGAATTTTGACATTTTTGATACTTCACAGCCTGTTGCCTCACTCTTTCCTCAAGAAATAATGGAACGGGCATATATATCTGTTGCAAACTTGAAAGAATGAGAAAATCAAGTTTGGGAACCTCTGATCTAGATCCTACCTCTACCTTCTTCGTTCTAATTACATTTAAGTTATTCTGTTTTCCTTTATCTTTATTTTTATATTTATACTCTATCGATAACAAAATCGACAGTAACATCCATAAAAACGTTGATAACAAAACCGATAAGAATATCGATAAAAAATCAATAAAAAAATCGATAAGAATAACGATAACAAAATCAGTAATAATATCCATAACAATATCGATAGCAAAATCGATGGCAATATCAATAAATAATATCGATAACGAAATCAACAGAAATGTCGATAACAAAATCGGTAAAAATATCGATAACAAAATCTATAAAAAATATCAATAAAAGGATCTATAAAAATGTCGATTATTATATCGATAAGTTCCGCAAATATCGATAGCAAAATCGATAACAATACCGATAAGAAAAACGATACAAAACATCGATAACAAAAACGATTAAAATTTCGATAACATAAATCGATAACAAAACCACTCAATACGCACCAGTTTCAGCCCCAACCATTTCCGTGTGCAATTTCTGTTGAATTTGCTAATTTACTCCAACCAACCAACGGGCGCAAATGAGCGATAAATTGAAAAATTTTACTTGGATGCGGATTGTGGCGAGACGCTTTTCCTCTGGGGTGAACGACAGTACTGGGTGACGAAGTCTCTATCCCACCCAGAGGCGTAACTATAGGGCGGTAGGGCTGGTAAAATGCCACGGGCCCTCGATCCGTGAGGGCCCGGCCCAAGTGACCGCGAGTTCAGAAATAACCTTAAATTTTCTACAAAACTAGTACTCAATATAATATATATTTTTTTTTTCAATTAAAGTGAGACACAACTAAAGACCATATAGGTATACTTTATTTTATGTCGTCCTGCTTTCCTGAAGTATTTGCTGCATTAATTTTATTTCCGCTAGTGCTGAACGATCATTTCACAAAAATTAATAAAAACCTATTTGAGAAACTCTATTGAACAAGAGAAGCTACGTAACTTCTGTCTACTCAAAATTCTATGGCTCTATCTTTAAACTTTTATTTTTTAACAAATATCTTACCAAAATTAAAGAGGTATTTCATTATAAATTATAAATTATTAACCCAAGCTCTTGAAAATAAAAATTATTAGATATTTAATTAAAATGCACTCAATTAACAATAGTGTTGGATAACTACTTAAGTCGTTTATTAAAATGAAATTACAACGTAACGATTTTTAGTGGGAGGGCCCCATCTCAAGAATTTGCCACGGGCTTCAAATGGTTACGCCACAGCTCCCACCAGGAAGCCATCACCGAATTCGCAGCTCACAACCCAAAACGGAACAAAATTAAAACAGAAATGTGACAGATTTTAAGAGGTATTTAGTTGAAGGTAAAGGTTACGTAGTATTATTTGCTGTCTTGCCTTTCGTAGGTACTCTTCCGAGCTATGTATGAATACATCGAATTACCAAATCCCAATGTTTAACTACCTTCATCCAAACATGGTATTTGATTTAAATTGTTTCACTGTGTTTCGTTAAGTTGGTCACTCGGACACTTATTCTGAGTTTTTCTCTTTGAATTCTCTAATTTAGTAGCCCCTAACGACATTGATCGTGCTAGATTTGTGTCACTGACGACCTTGGCTAAAAACTCATGTGGCGAATATTTAAATTAATCTAATTATATGCAAGCTGATCCAAATGCGGTGAAAAGGGAGACTTAAAAAAAAAATAAAGTGAACAATTACGATGAAATCAACGGTATTTTCTCAATTCATGCTTATGTTACCAACTTATGTTTCAAGACACATATGCCCGATATTTTATTCTCTTGATATGAAACTATGTATGTGGTCTTGAAGGCACATGCAAATTATTTTCTTTGAAAGTGATTTCAATTGGCATCAGAAATGGTTGCAATCAAGCCTATATGCATGCCAAAAATCAGTGACTTACGAACCGAACCATATGAATATATGTATGTATGTAGGTAGCTAGGGTGGCGGGGTTCATTAGGTACATACATAAATCACTGAATTGCGTTCCAGCTTAGTTTAGTTTAGTGCAATTCAACATCGACATCAACAATAACAATAGAGTACTTAGTTGTATTAATCAAAAGCGACAATGACACAACAAGTACAACAATAACATAACAAGTGAAATGCTATAGTGTGGGAACACTGCGAGAAAGAATTTCATACTCGTATTAAGCACACTTCAAATATTTTTATTTAATACAGTAAGTAATCGCCCCGCCACAGGCGCCGGCCTCCTAAATACTGTAAACAGTCAAATAAGGACATCTGCTGACTTTATGCATGATGGTCAAATCTCTTTGAGTAATGTGAGGCTATTTGGTAGGAGCGTAAAACTTGATTGGCATGACTTAGAAGATCGTGGGAACGGCCCTCATCTTTAAAACAAGAGTAGACAATGTTTTTTTTTCACTCAGTAGAATAGAATTAAATAGCAGGGGCGGAAAATCTCTTTAAAATAAAAGTTTTAATTTTACCGTTAAAATTGGATTTGTATTTTTTAGATAAAATTTAACCGTTATTTTAAGATTTTTATTTTTTTCATGCAGTCGTGAAACTATGGGCGAAATATAAAAATACTGCGCTTTAAGTTTTTGTCTCTGACGTCAGGGTTTTTTTAAAAGGACTTTGAAGTTTGAAAAATATGATTACTTCAAACTATTATTTAAAAAATTCAGTGCAATGTAGAAAACCATACGGTTATAAAATTACAGAGAAAATTTTGTCGAATTGTCCTAATTTCTTTTTATTCCTGAATATCTTTGAAGTTTTGCAATACTTATTTTTGAAAAAATTATACATATGTTAAGAGCAATATGCACTCGACAACATCGTCGCATCTTGTCCTTCTATCTTTATAAGCTAAACAAAAAATAAATAAATAAAACCAATTAAGAGGGCATTTTCGATACCTATTCGTACTTGTTAAGTAAAATATTTGAATTTCACAGAATTTTCTCTTTTACTTTATACCCATATTGTTATTCTTTTATAAATAACACAGGTTTACAAAATCAAAAATCAATCTCGAATCAATAATATTTTTGAAACTACAAAGTCCTTTCAAAAAATTCTGACGTCAGAGAGAAGAACTAAAAACGAAGTTTTATTATATTTGGCCCATATTTTTGTGAGCACATATATAGATTGCTTAACGTGTTTCAACATGTTTTTGTTTTCGTCGCACAGTGTAATCCTTATTTTTGGTTTATTCTTTTCCAATGAATTTTCGATCGTTATATTTCATATATCCTACAGTGTATAGTAATTTCTTACAGTGTACCTCTGAATTTTTGTCCAATTTATGAATGAACAAATGAATCAAGGCGGTTATTTTTCGGTGGGCCGTGTAAATTTAGTGCGTTTTGAATAACGCGCGGGAATGGCACTTACCGGACCGAGTTCATTGTGAAAACGAAAAAGGCCTTGAGCAGAGTTCGAAGTGTAAAAATTTAATAAAACTTGTAATATTTTGAGCTTGGTTATTCGCTAAAATGAAGTTTATTAGCTTTCTGCTTATTTTAATGTTCCTTGGCGCTTGTGCTGCCTTTGGTCAATATCATATGCGGCATTACAATAGTCGACAAGTGGATTCTAGTGAGGAGGATGACAAGAGTCCAGTGTTGCGTAAGTAATCTCAAGGACATTGTGTGAGAAAAGTGCATCATGATCGAAATACAGATTTTTTTTCCACGTTTGGGGATTTCAGAGTTCTCGTTGATATTAATAACTTTAAAGGCTGTTATTGCAACTATTTTGTGTATGGTGTACGAAAAAGAAATGTGCGTAATTACTACATACATACAGTGGGCGCCAAAAGTCTACGTAGTTTGCGTTCGCTAATGTTTTATAAAACTATAGCTTATATTACGAGAAAAATTATAAAAAAATAAAACCTTTAGTTTTATGCAAACTTCAAGAAATGCAATAAATTTAATTAGCAACTTAGAAATTTTGATCTCACGATTTTAATAGTAGTATGAATCAAGACGATTTCATATAAGGTGGCAGTACAAAAAAGGGCTGTAAAGTAAAAAAAAATAAAAAAAAATAAATAAAAAAAAACAGCTTTAATTGACCGAGTATTTATCAAAGTTATTTGTTTACAGTTTTGGATATTCCACATAGCTACATTTTTTGCTTCAGTGCAGCAAAATGTTTTATCGAACGCCAAATTTCCAAATCATGTGACTTATAGTTCCGAAGTTATAGCTGATTAAAAGTTTCGCGCCTATGGGAGTGCCACGATCCCTTTTCGAGACCCACTTTTTCACCCTGTTATACGCCCAAGTGCCAATACTCTGTCAAAACTTCATTCGATTCTGTCCATCCGTTTAGGCAGCAACCAGCTGTCACAGAGAGAGATGTGCCCTGGTTATAGTTTAGAAGCTGGGTTTCCAGGGCCCATATCCTTCCTGTTAAGTTTATTGCCGTAGTACGAAGAGGTTTGTAGACTCTTAGTTAATTAGTTTACTTTCAGCTAGTCGCGTTAAGTATTGAAATACATATTGAGCTTTTGCTCTTTAGATGTTTATAGACAAAATAGTTGCTAGATCCTCACCAGTTCAAGAGCAGTGGTACCAAAGAACTTTGCCCGCGGGCCCATGCCCTCCTTAAAACGAATAAGTCGGTGTGACCCAACCGAAGCTCCCTCTATTTCTGCCGTGACCCAAGGCTCCACACGGGTTAGTTACCGCACCTCGCACATCGGTTGCTCACTATGCCCAGAGTGCGTGAATGAGGATGTAAGAGTCGGGATTGAGTATAGCCGTGCAATTGTAACTGCATACCAAAAACAACGGCTATATCCCATTGCACTACTCTATGGGTATCCCCGCAAAACTAGTACGAATAAGACAAGACTTCCTGATAACAATGAAAAAGTCTTCGTCGATTGGGACACACGTCAGCATCCAGCTTAAACACCACTAATAAAATAACTCTTGCCAACAGGTGCTACTTTGAGCGCGGTAGGCAATTGAAAAGCAGAGACCTCTCTTAATGAACATAAATCACGCTCTACAAATCTCTCATCATATCCGTCCTTTTAAATGGCGCAGAAACATGGACGATCGAGTTTATCTAAATGATCCATCTGTACGAACTATAATTGTTCGAATTATAAAAAACTTACTACATTTTTTCACTATCAAATTATGTAGGTGGTCCCATTGAACAGGGGATCCCTGGCGGCAACTAGGTTCACCACCCGAAAGATCCGTCTTTTATTGACTACTTCTTTGCTGGATTTCTGTATACGCGGACAGATGTAGTTTTGGTTTAACGTGGGAACCTACTGCAATTTAATGCAGTTTTAGCTCCACGGAGTCCAAAACTCAACGGATTAATTTTTGCCTTAATCATTGCCCTGAAATGCAAGCATCTCAGTTCCAATGGCAGTGTGGGGTGACACACTTACCGCCTTGGTGAAGCCGAAGCTTACCTAAAGCCGCTGCCAAATCTTTGGGTCATGGCACCCGGTTGCAATGCAACTCCACATCGAACTCTTTTGAGTTCTCCAGCATTTTGGTATTAAACCACAACCACCACGTTACTCCCCGAAGGGCCGCAACCAAAGAGTAGGCCATAGTAAATATAGGATACTATGGGGGCCCCTACTCCCCGTGGTACCTTTTTAAAGTCTTAGGTATGACTTCGAAAGCAGCAGCTCTTCTTCCAATTGAGCCTCATGCCCGACTCAGGATTGGTAGCCTTTAGCTGGGTGTATACGCGGACAGCAAAACCTGATAGTTCTTGGTAATTCCTACTACATTTTTCGCACTTATTCAGTACATCAGGGATGTTGCGAATATTTGCATTCGCCTTCGTTAGGCGAATGATTCGCATAATTTTAAACATTCGAATTTTTTTGCCTTTTCTAATTCTCAATTGCAAAGGGCAAGGAAAAATCTCTTATTCCTGATAATACGAAAGTTTTATACATGCCATATTTAAATTGGGGGCCACGCTTAGAACAGTCAAGGATTTTCTTCGCGAAAATCGAATAAAAATTCTGCCAGAAAAATGCAAAATGCTTATTGTGGTTCAATGTTACTAAATACAACTATAGATTTTAAAATTTTGTTGAAACTCGAAACTCGAAAGGAGAAAATAGTCAAAGATTCAGAGTAAAAAATTTTCAATTAAGGAAACTAGCTTACAGTTCTTCTCTTTTTTGACTTGTAAAATAAATATTCCTTAAATAAATGTATTTTTTGATTATTTTTCGGTTTTAGTCTTTTTTTTAGTGCCTTCGTTTGTCTTTTGCGATTTCCAGTGCCTTTTCCTGCCTATAACGCTATCTTATTTTGCCTTTTTTATAGGCTTTTAGATCCCAAAAATCCGTTCCCTGCTTATAAGCAAACTAGAAATAATTTTAGATTCCTCCAGTGAAAGCGAAGTTTCGAATGTAGAATCGGGTGACATTAAAAATGTGAAATTAAAGCTCAATTGAAGGTCTTTCTTAAATAAAAACGAGCTCATCTTGGTGAAAATCCTCTCGATTGGTGGAAAACTAAACTGAAATACGACAAATTGACAGATCTGGCCCGCAAATATTACTTTGTTTTTGAAATACAATATGCCCCTTTTGAGCTTTGACTACTAGATTAAAATACTGTATAGGTTAAGCACTCGTTCAATGTTTTAATAATTTACAAGATTTTTAAGTAATAAAAACGATGACTTTAGTTGGTTAGAGCTTTTTTAATGCTATTCCTAACATTCGCATTCGCACATTCTCATTGCGAAAATTCGTATTTGCATTCGCACATTCGCATTCCGAAAATTCGCATATATCCGAAACATCCCTAATATATACATACAGTATCGGTCATATCTATAGCACGCCATTTCAAAGTGATATTGTGTGTCACTTATGTTTATTTATTTATTTTTAAGAATTTTCAATTAAAATTTAGTTCATTCTCGGACAAACCCCATATATACCCAAGTTCAACAATTTGTAGAAAACTACAAAAAAGTGTAACAAATTTTCACCTAAATTTCAAACTTTTTTCTCGGAAGTGATAGAATTTTTTTGAGTACACAGTTTTTTAGCCCCTGCAATTTTAGTCTGATAATGTGCAAATTTCAAGTGGCTACGAATTACCGTTAATTTTTTAGAATTTTTTTTGTCGCATTGGCTTCCATATAATGAATAAACTCAATTTATTTGTATATGGAAGAAAACCGCAACATCCTTGGCGAAAAAAATTCTAAAAAATCAGCGGTAACTTTTAGCCACTTGAAACTTGCACATTATCAGACTAAAATTGATTGGGCTATAAAACTGTGTATTCAGAAAAATTCGAACACTTCCGAGAAAAAAGTTTGAAATTTAGGTGAAAATTTGTTGCACTTTTTTGTAGTTTTCTATAAGTTTTTAAACCTGGGTTTATGTGAGTTTTGTTAGAGAAAGAACTGTATTTTAATTGAAAATTCTTAAAAATTAATATATAAACATAAGTGGCACACAATATCACTTTGGAATGGCGTGCTATAGATCTGACCGATACTGTATATACCTAGGAATGAATTATTCATATGTATTTTCTTTCTTTTTAAGGTTCATATCGCCGCTGCATGTGGGAGCAATCGAAATTCCTGCCACGCCGTTTAGTGCTACTCAGCTTGTGTGCGAATTTGTTTTGTGAGAATAATCAAGTCGTACAACGTTCCAGGTCTATTTTTGTAGTGGAAAAGATGTCTAGACCCAACGAGTAGATATTCGTAGTTGCACCATTATTCCCTACTATTCAATTTATGTGATAATACTAATCAATAAATTTTTTCTGTTTTCTTTTTATTTTTATCTATCAACTCATATGTCAATCAGCTGTATGGATATACTACCCGAGCAATGCGAGCAAGGTGACGAGGAAGAGCTGATGTATAAACCCTTTCCGGATTGCTGTCCAGTCTATTGCAATCTCAAGCGTCGCATGCAGCGCTTGAAGACAATGCATTATCGGCATCGTAAGCTATTGAATTTTCAACATCAGCAAGCACAGTCAGATATCCTATTAGGCAACTATAATGTGGACGATCTAAGCTTTAGATAAGCTTGAAAGCCTAAGAACAATGAGCGTAGCGCATCTTCTATGGTTGCGAAAAGTGATGTGGCTGCCAGTTAAGTGGCAATGAGTTATGCACGTGGATTTGTTGCTTTATTGGAAGTGAATTTTAATTAAATACAAGCAAAAAAAATAAAAAATAAAAAATCGTATGTATGTAAATATGTAGTATGTACATATGAATTCAGTTAAGCGGCATTTTAAAAGTTTATTTTTTGGTTTTCAATTGATTCGTATGCGCAAATTGTAACCCAAATAATTAATTGATTACAATCTCAATGGACTCAATTCATTCAATGGCACCTTCGATTTGCTTGCTCACCTTATGACTTAATTATCAGTTATCAAAATTTCATATCTACCGAGTATTTGAGGTGCGCATGCGCGTGTTTGGGCGGCAAATCACACACAAGGCACAAGGCACACAAATTGGCATGGTGTTGGCGCTGGCGCGACGTGCTGCCCACAAATTGAATTTTGGCAGCTAATGCGCATAAATAAATTTGGTTTTTTTTTAAATAACAATTACAATGAGAGCATTTACAAAATAATGTGTTCTGCATTCACAGACACAAATGTATCCGCATACATACTACATATTACATTCACACAGTTGCGGTATTTTTTTCACTAGTGTCATAACTCAAAAAATCAAAAGTCGACAAAAACGGCTTTTAAGTTTTGAATTCACATATATGTAGTAAAAAATAATACATATATATTTTATTCTAGTCAGATACTACGAATCGATACAGCAATGAAATTTTTCCACAAAATAGAAGAAGAGGTAGCGGCAATTTCTGTATACTTAACCCAATATTTGTATTTTATGGATTATGACACTACTGATGTAAATGGGTGATATGTATGTATGCATGCATTTGAAACAAATTCATTTGGACGCACACCTGTGACACCTGATAAATATCCAAAAAATATTTATTGATGTTTTATTGGACTTTTTGTTTGCTGGACCTGCTGCCCTCTACCAACGAACAACCTAAATTCAGTGGTACTAAACTGAATATTTTATACAGGGTAAAATATATTGGAATTGTTCAGCATCTCAACACAATCCGAGGTAGAAGCTCCGGTTAAATACACTGACTGCTGTATCGATCACTGTGCACCGATGCAATCATTCGATTATATGCCTTTGTCCCCAATGAAAGTGGACCACATTTGAGAAAGCTTTTGCTTCTTGAGCAGGGGTCACAGGATTTGTGCATTTGTATATTTTGGTAGGTACAGATTGGTGTTGTCTAGAAATTTGTATCGATTATGACTTCAGCTCAATAAAAAATCTACTCTGTAACTGTCAAAACTGTACAAATATGTATATACAGATGTACAAATCGTCTGAGCCCGCTTTAGACCGCCAAAATTTTCAAGCAATGGGCCGTACGAATGTAAAGTAAGCAATTGCTTTTTCTTAAAATTTCAAACCTTTTACTCCATTTATTCAAACAAAATTGAAGTAAGAGGTCTGCAATTTAAAAAAAAAGTACTTGCTTAGCTTTTATTCATACAACCCATTGTCTCAAAAGAACTGCTATGTTTCGAAGCTTTTTGATTAATATAAGTACTCCTAAACACTTGATGTGTCGGCTCGATTTTATCGATGCATTGCCGACTGTAAATTTTCAGTCCAGCTTTTTCTTCCGCTAGCGATAGACCAACCGTGGCCAGGCAGAACTTTCGGTGACCATCCGTCCTGTATTATATGGGACAGTCCTCTTTATTGGTAATTTATTTATTTTATACGGGACGCTAAATGTTCTATATTTCATTTAATGCCAAAAATTAATGGTATGTCGTAGCGACTTCAAAATTGCACTTTATTATATTAAAATTTAACAAATTTTTTAAACAAATTTTACGGGGTGAAAATCTCAAAAAAAAAATATTCTGCAAATTTGAGATGCTATAAGGATACTGTTTCAGGTCTAATACATCTAGGATCCTTGAAGAATACTTTAAGATCTGTAAGCTGTTGAGGAAAAAATTTTGACATTTTTTTCCCCGTATTCGGCTACCATAAATATGGTCACCACACACATAGTTCTATATGCCCTGCATTTTGCATATATTAATACATATACTATACTCGTCATATAAAATTTAAATTGCACGTAAAAGGTATAATGACAACTAAAATGGTAAGAAACTGAACGGGTAACTGAAAGCAAACCTTATTAAATACATATGTATGTAGATACATTAGAGTGGGCCAAATACATAGGAAAATCAACTTTTTTGATTCTTACTGTTGCTGAGAGTGGCTGGAGGAATAAAACTTTGGGCCACCCTAATGCGCATGTACTTGCATATTTTGACCGATAAGCCGAATCATATGCAAGCGCTACTGCCGCCCAGGTGAAAAGGCGTCTTATTACTATTTGCACTTCACATGTAGCACCCTAAATCCAAAACAGTCACAACTCAAAAAACATCAAATGTTCATGAAACGCAAAAAACTGTGCAGTCGATGAAAACAAAAACAGTCTTAGTAGTGTTTTTCCAGGCAAAGAAGATAATAATGAGACGAAATTTTGCGGAGGATAGAAAAAGGCTCTGTGGAAAAAAATCTATTTTGAAAAATTTGAGTTGTGACGGTTTTTATTTAATTGCGAAGCCTAATATTAGGTACTATTCAATATTCGGCCGAACACCGAAGCCGAAGACGAATATTAAAATAAAATTTTACTACGTTTCAAAAATAATAAGTCTGTGATTTTTATTTCGTAACAAAATGAGGTGTCATTAAAAGGCTTGGACTGCAGATGTGCAATAATAAGGTTTTACATTTTTGAAAAAAGTTGCTACCTTTTAAAAAATTATATACAAATTAGAAGAAATAAGAGAAATTTGTATGTATCGCCATGTGAGTGTGCCAAACGAAAGGGGTTCCAGAAAATAGTAGTATTTTGAACAGGGTTACCATCTGCTTGAAATGTCGAATTTAGTTTACTTAAATATCCACAAGTTATATTAAATATTAAAATATGGATGTCAAACGAAGGAGTAATAAGAAATCTGTAGTTTGAACGGAAAGAATATTTTTGAGGTGTTGGAAGTGGTTAAATTCTATTTATTTAATAAGTTAAATGAGTTATTAAAATATGAGTATCAATCGAAGGGGGTTTGCAAATTTTTTATTTCTGGACCATATTTAGCGGGGTTGCCACATATTTGAAAAGTTAAATTCCACTTAATTCATCATTTAATTAAAATATGTAGCGCAATATCCAACGAAGCAGAGTTAACAAGGACTAAGCTTGAAAAAACTTTTGAAGAGGCTGCCACCTGTTTGAAAGGTCTAATTCAATTAACTAATACAAAAAGTATATGAAATAAATAATAATAATAAAATACCATAGTCAAGCAAAATAATGATGGGAAATCTTAAGTTTGAAATTTTTGAATGTTTGAAGAGGGTTGCCACGTGTTTAAAAAGTTAAATTCAAAATATTCAATAAGCTGGATGAATTATTAAAAAATGGGTATCGATCGAAATGGATTCGAATTGAAAAGTTTTATTTCTTACCTAATTTAGGAAGGTTGCCATGTGTTCGAACATTTTAATTAAAATTACTTCATCAGTTTATTGAAATACATGTGTATCACAATGTCAGACGAAAGGGATTTGAGAAGATCTTAGTTTGAGAATACTTTTGAAAAGGAATTTAAAAAAATTAGAGACCTTAGCCTGTAGATGTGCGATAAAGTGTTATTTTTTTAATCAAGGACTTTTTTCATGGTATAGGGTGTTTCGAAATTTTATGAAATTAAAAACCTGCTCTTTGAGAAACTTGTCTTCACTCAGAAACAGCTGCACGGTTTTAGATGAAATATGACACTCGGATCTCATATAATTCTCTCTTATTTAAGTTTTTGAAATTCAATTTTAGGCGTCTTACAGCCAATTTCACGAAAGCAATTTATGTAAAAAATTATTTTAATGTTTTGAATTTCATATGGAAATTTACAGAAAATAAATAATCATTTCAATCAAACATACATTTTCCATACCTGCTAAACTTTCTTGGTATTGCGAAGGATGCATTTGTAAATGCTTTTTCAAGCTTGTTTGTTTTTTTGACGCTTCACTTCCCAGGGCAGAGGTAGTTCAGAAGAGTCCACAGCTCTCCTCAAGCCTTGATACCATTTTAGAAGAGTCTAAGGACTTTAACGATGCCTGACTTTAAGGCATAATCTTTATTTTGGCCCCATTTGTCCTTCTACGAAGACATTCGGGAACGCAGGCTTAGATTTAGAAGACTTCCGCTTGGAGCATGGTTGGGTATGTAACCATCGGCAGACTTTTTTGGATTCTTGGCCCCGTCATCTCTCTTCGCTCCGTCGGTAGACCATACTTGGGACCTTTCATCAATCAGAAATTCTGACCTTGTAGGGTTTTGTTGAATGTTAACATCCAGAAATGGCTTGAGATCCTAAAAAATGAACCCGAAAATCTTTTGTTTTCATGCTGATCGTATTGGATAGCTATAGGGCGCTCAACCGGGCCCTTTTTCAATCAGAGCAGACAGATGACGAAACCTGTAATGAAACCAAGGTCATCCGTTGAACAGGTGCGCATTTCTCCTGTGATGGCCACGCGGAGTAGTCTGCACCCGCAGTGCCGCAGATGTAACATTGGTTTTTACTACCGTATTGATAGACCAATACGTTAGTTTGGGTGATATCCCGCCAAGTCTTACCATGAAGTCTCAAGTCTCTGGCAGGCATAAAACTCCCATGTAACCTTGTTGGTATCAAGGTTACTCCACAGTTACTCCTTGATAATTCACCTCTTCTGAGAACTCAATTTTTGTCCATGCCAAGGTGGATCTAGTTAAGTTGACTTTCCTTCTTTTATATAAATAGACATAGACATTGCCATATATATACACATAGCCATAGGACATAGGACATAGGACATAGGCATAGCCCTTCATACAGACGTAGACATAGACATAGACATAGCCACAGACATAGATATAGATATAGACGTAGAAATAGAAACAGACGTACACATACAAATATATTGCGAAATTCTGGCGCGCTTAGGGACTAGCAGCACTCAGATCTTGTGATTTTCGAAACTCATTTCAGTTACTTTTAGTACTAAATTAAACAAATGTAAGAAAA